AAGGAGATGGTATCTCAGGAAGCATGCAATTGACAGCTGAGCTTTCTCCTTCTGCATCCCAAAATTTGCTCAGCCGAAATCACTTTGAGAATGATGGTGACCCCAGAGTCACCCTCACAAGGAGACCCACAAGTTCACTCTAAAGTTACCTACAGCTTACCCCAGACGGTGGCGACGTCAGCGACAACCGCCAACCGTAGCGCCCAACGTGGTAACAGAACATTCGACCAATCGAATCGGTTTACGGTTTGGGAGAGTACCCCGAGGTTACCCCAACCAACTTCGGCGGGAAAGTTCATGGCCCTGCCTATTTTGCCACTACTTTGAATCTGCCAAGGCAGCCACGTACGGGAATGGTGGGTAAGCCTTTTACTGTACACTTCGTTTCTCAACATGTCGAATTGACAAATTACGATTGTGTCTTCTCCGATTCTGGGTTTACTATCACATCGTTCAACATATGGTAGTTCCAGTGATGGGTTGGGTTACGTGGCACAATCTAGTTCACCAACCAATTGGAGCTCTTCGACAACACCTTCTACTGCCTCTCCTCTCCCAGCACCTTTCAAGTACTTATCCTCATCCATCCTGTTTCTCACTCGTCATTCCTTATGCCGTTTTCAGCTCATGATACTCACGTAGAGCAGTTACAACGAGAGCTCCACGCTGCTTACTTGAACAAGTAGCAGGTTGTCTCGATTAACTATGATGAGCTTCTAATGGTGGTTAGGTTTTGCTTACACATTTAGGAAATAGGTTCCTTCCCCTTTCTACTAGCGATGTCATAGTATTTTAGATGTTGCCGCTGTTTCAATGACTTGCATCTAATCTATCGTAGTTCACGATCGTATCTTCATGGCAGATTATCGAACACGGGAGTGATGCATGATCTTCCCAAGGTCTACGCGTATCGACCTAAGAATTGGCGCTCATCGTAAGGTGAGTTGAAATGCTGTAGGATGGGGTTCCAGGATGAGCGTCACTCATTCCGCTTGCTTCATGGCATCACTATGTTTTTTATTGCCGCCGTTTTATTTGTCGGCATCCAGGTTTCCCTCATGCCTTCTCGCCATCACACGATTTGTTTCCTTGCAATTCGTTGCCTTCACCGCAAGGTTTTGCAGATGGCGTATCACCAAGGCATTAGCTTCCTATCTAGAAAGACTTCTTTTCTCGTGACCATTCGGTGCATAATAGACACCAGCGGCGTGAAAACATTGTTTCCCAATCCATCCGGGTCCTCTATATGTTTCCTCGTGCACTAATATTTCTCCTGTTCTCACTACTCATTCCTCACTCTTACCCCACCCCCCCCCTGGCTGAATGTCGCCACTCTATGCAGAATACGGAAGGCGATTTTGTCAGGCTTTGTCATGTATTCGTGAGGTAAGAACCTGCTATGTCGTTTGTTCTTACTATCTCGTTTGTTATTGTATGCTGTAGGAGAACAACATAATGCATTGGGTAGTGAGGTTTGTGCAGGAGCTTTCCTTAGTGAGTATTATAGTGTCTACAACATGCTGCATGTAGGGTGCATGCTAGAAAGTGGCCAATTAGTAACATTGTTGTTCGTAATGTTGTATATGAAATGTGCAGATCAAAATGTGCAAAGTGCTAATCACTACAGCCAGTCACAAAATAAAAAAAATATTATGTGAATTTGTCAAATCTCATTTATGGTGGAATTTATTGTTGCAAAACTATACTAAGCAATATTAATTTTTGTATTTATCAAAAGTAGTTGTGGCTATATCAGATTTTTGTTTTCTTTTTAACGCTAATTTGTTCACCAATAAACTGTAGGTAGTCGTTCACGTACTGTTTGCAAAATTCTGTAATGTTGGCGATGTATAGCATAGTGCGAAAGCGACTCGCGTGTGATTCGCTCCCGCATGATGAGAGGGGTCTCCAATGGGTGACCTCGGGGTCACCACGAGAGGTGATTGTGGTCGAGGTTACCCGCGGGTCACCTAGACAAGGACCACAGGGTATCCCGCCACAGGGTAAGCTGTGGGTAACCTGAGGGGGGGGGGGGGGGGGGGGGGGGGGGGTTGGCCCAAACGTTTTTGGGATGTGGCACAAGCAGATGGTAGTCTGCCATGCAAGCAGAAGAGGCAGCAGCATAGTGCATCAGCAGGACTGCAGCAGCAGCAGCAGTAGCAATAGTAGTAGCAGAAGTGAGCGACAGCAGGCGTGGGCGACTGCAGTGGGCCGACCCGAGGTTGGATCGGGTTAGGAATCCTGCCCCACTGCACGCCCCTCCCCCCACTGAATGCATCTGCCCCTGGCCAACCGTCCCTGTGCGATGGCGGGTGCAGTGCAGGCATAACCTTCGAGAAAAATGATGCTGGTTTGACACTCGGACACGCATGTGACAAAAGCCCGGGCAGGCAAAAAAACCTAGAAATCTAGTAGGTAGTGCAGGATTTTATGCGCAAAAATGGGAGCACAGATTGTTGAAACCGTTTTTCATAGCCCACCCCATTCCACGAATTTGCCTAAGAAACTTGTTTCCAACAATTTTCTTCCTTGCCACCAAATTCACCGCTTATGACCTAGAAAACCCAACCAATTTCAATCATGGAAACAAGATATTGGAGGTCAAGACCAGATCTAGATTTGTTTGACCTCCTACATATCTTATCCAGCGGTCTCATACCCGGCACTGTAATCCAACAGCGAAACTACTCTAGCTGTGCTTGCTACATATGATTTCAGCTTATTCAATACTAGCAGAAGGTATAGATTCCTGATAGCCGGAGTTGATGTCACGCCAGCCGTGTGGCGTCGTCGAGCACTCTTGTGCCCCAAAGGTCTCCTCCATGCCTCTAGCTTCTCTGGAGGTGGGCACCATGGTCTACTTGGGCTGCCAGGGTAACAATAACTTAGGTGTGTGATAAGTTGGCTACTAATCTGAAGGTAATCTAAGGGGCTGTCCGTGCTCCCCCCACCATGCGGAGAGTCACTCTACACTGGGTGCTGAGAGCACAGAGGCGGCTTGCCAACGCGGCAATTCGATGGCGTGCCAACGCAGCTGGAAGGCGGCTTGCCAACACAGCAAGTCGTTCACATGCCAGCGGTGCACTACGGCAGCTTGTCAGCATTGCAACCGCAGATGTCTATAGCGCACGTGCACGCACCTACTTTCCAGATGCAGATAGACAATTGAGCACGTCGTACACCATCACGCACATTGCGCAAGTGCCAGGTCGGTCACGTGCCGACCGTGTCAGAATCTAATGAGCAGGAATGATTGCATTGAGTAAGAAAGTGATACAAGTACTAACCCTAATTGGGTTGTACCCCATATAGGCTACCCCACTACAACCTACACAACACAGAACATAATAGTTTGACACACCCCCATAGACAAAGTGGGGGAGAACAAGGGGTCACAAGACCAGTCAAGAAAAGCAAAGCAAGCTCAGGGTGGATCACAAAGTCACCACACACTCTGAGCACAAACAAATGGCCACAAGGCCAGTTCACATGCAGAGTTATATAAATAGGAACAAGTAGTACAGTGATCACAACCTAGCAAGTGTAAGCATGCAGGTACAAGTATATAGATCACAGTACAAGCAAAGTCACGAGGTGAGCAAGTGAGGAAAAGTAGGCACAAGGCCGAAAACAGTACAGAAACTCTAATGATCACGAGGCTGAAGTGCCTTGGTGAATATATCAGCAGTGTTGGCCCGAGTGGCCACGTAAGCAAGACGAAGCTGACCACGCTGCTGCAACTCTCGAGCAACGATGTAATGCAGAGTGATGTGCTTTGTCCTGTGCTCTTGATACAAGGCAATCATAGCCTTGTTGTCTACGTACAGAACTGGAGGTGAACTAGGCCGCTCTCCCAAGTCGGTCAGCAGGTAGGTGAGCTGGCGTAACTCCTGTGCAGCCATGGCCCCTGTGTAGATCTCAGTTTCACAACTGGAATGGAGAATAGAAGACGAGCGGGTAGACCGCTTAGAAACAGAACCGGAGCCAAGGCTGAAAGTGTAACCCTGTGACGACCGCTGCGTGGCCAAATTGTCAACCCAAGACGCGTCTGCGTGGCTAGTGAGAACAACTCGACTCCGTCCTCCAAGCACGAGCCCCATGCCCGACATACTGCACAAGTAGCGTAACACCCTCTTAACGGCCTCCCAGTACTCTGGTCGGTGTCTCCCGGGCGCAACGTAGCATGCCAGGATGCTGAGAGGGCAAGCAAGGTCAGGTCGAGTGTAGGTCATCAGGTATATGAGGCAGCCCACAAGCTCTGGATACGGGCCACTCAGCTCTACCGACTCGTCCAGAGGTGGAGCTGAGAGCGAATGACCGGTAGCAAGAGGAGTGGGCTGTGGCGAGGACCAAGTGAAGCCGAAGCGCTGAAGGACCTGGTGCACCATGTGTGACTGAGTCAGGGTGATGGTGCGCTGTGCTCAGTCCCGGGTGATCTGAAAGCCAAGATAGCTGTGCAGCTCACCCAGGTCTGTGCACGTGTGTCTCTTCCGCAGCTCCGAATTCACTAGAGTCAGAGCCTCAGTGTCAGCAGTGGCAAGAACCAAGTCGTCGACGTACACGAGGATGTAGAACGGCGGCAGAAAAGTGTCGGTGCGCAGAAACAGCCACGCGTTAGTAGTCGAAGGAGCAAACCCAAGACCCGCAAGTGTAGTCCTCAGTGTGTCGTGCCACTCATGAGGCGCTTGGCAAAGACCGTAGACTAGCCGCCGGACGCTCTACTGGGTACCTGCAGGAAACGACCCTGTGAAGCCAGGTGGGCGGCGCAGCCAGATCTCCTTGTGCAGGCTGCCCTGCAAGAAAGTTATGCTGAAGTCAAGAGAGTGCGGTTACGACTCTGCACCCTTACGTAAAGGCGATTACGGGTCCCTTAGTTGAGACGACAGCTAGCAACAAAGTCGACAAGCTCAGCAACAAGGGCAGAGGCAGCAATGAGTCAAACGAAGGGTCGGTGACAACAGTGGCTAGGAGACGGGTGACAGTAGGACTGGCAGCACGAACTAAGTCGGGAAGAGAGGACGCAGGAGGAGATGGCAGGGGAACTCGAAGTGCAATAGAGGAAGGATGAAGTGCCATAGTGTGAGTGTCAGGGACAGGAGGAGGACGCCTACGACTGCAAACAGCGTGAACAGGCGAGGCAGGATGAGACGCAGGCTCACGAAGCTCTGTAAGGGAGTCAGTCTGCTTAGTGTAAGGAAAAGGGGCAGGCAGTGGGGAGTCTGGGTGTAACTGTGGCTGCAACTGGTCAGGCGGTGGACACAGCATGGGAGGAGTACGGCCAGTAGAAGACGGGAGACTAAGAACCTGGGAAAGTGCCGAGCCAGGTGGCGACAGAGACGACGGCCGAAAAACAGTCGCCGATGCACAGTGCCTCCATTACCAGTACTGACAGCTCCAGCACCCCTAGCGCCAGCACCCCCAGCTCCAGGGTCTCCAGCTCCAGGGTCTCCAGCTCCAGCACCAGCAACACCACCAGCTCCAACAGCTCCAGTACCTCCAGTACGAGCACCTCCGGGACCAGCAGCTCCAGCACCTCCAGCACCTCCAGCACCTCCAGCAGCACCACCACCACCAGCTCCAGCAGCTCCAGTACCCCCAGCACCTCCAGCACCAGCAGCACCACTAGCTTCGGCAGCTCCAGAACCCCCAGCACGAGCACCTCTAGAACCAGCAGCTCCAGCACCTCTAGTGCCTCCAGCACCTCCTGCACCAGCAGCACCACCAGCTCCGGCAGCTCCAGCGCATCCAGTACGAGCACCTCCAGGACCAGCAGCTCCAGCACCTGCAGTACCTCCAGCTCCAGTGCCTCCAGCTCTAGAGCCCACAGCACCACGAGCTCCGGCAGCTCCAGCACCTCCAGCACAAGCACCCCCGGGACCAGTAGTGCCAGCACCACCAGCACCTCCAGCACCAGCAGCACCAGTGCCTCCAGCGCCAGCACCTCCAGCGGCAGGGCCTCCAGCTCCAGCAGCGCGACACCGGAGGCGGGTGCGCCAAGCGTACCACTCGCGCAGCTGCTGTGGTGAGAGAGGCTCCCGCTGGCTAGACCGCTAGGGCGAGGCACCTGCAGGACCTCCAGGACTGGTAGCTCCAGCACCCCCAGTATCTCCAGTACCAGTAGTACCTCTAGCACCTCCAGGACTAGCAGCTGCAGGGCCTCTAGCTCTAGCAGCGCCACTCCGAAGGTGTGTGCGCTGAGTGTACCACTTGCGCAGGTGCTGTGGTGAGAGAGGCTCCTATAGTGTAGACGCAGTACCCCTAAGCTCCAAACCCGCATGCTCAGCACCCCCAAGCCCCGCACGCTCAGGCTCGACAACCCCGGGCTCCGCACTCGCAGGCTGAGCACCTCCAGGCTCCGCACGCTTAGGCTTCGCAACCGCAGGCTCAGCACCCCCATATGCAGCACCCCGAGCAGCACCAGAGTCACCAGTAACCTCGACAGGCTCAACCAAGGGGAGTGGATCTACCTGAGACACACCTGAAGGAGCAGGTTTCTGAGGGGGCACGCGGTCTACCGGAGGGGGACTTGGAGTGAAGAAGAGCGGCGAGAGGGGGAGTGGGGCAGTGCGGTAGGGGAAGAGATGGTAAAAAGGAACCGACTCATCGAACGTGACGTCCTGAGAGGGCAGGACACGGTGCGAGGTGGGGGGGTAAAACTGCCAACCAGGCGCGTCAGGGGGAAAGCCAAGGAAGACGCAGGAACGGCGCGGGAGGAAGCTTGTCCGCGGAGGTATCGCGGACAAAGGCACGACAGCCCCAGATCCGGAACACCGATGCATCGCCAACCTCCCCTGTCCAACGCAGTGTAGGTGAGGTCTCCGGCAAGGAGACACGGGGCCAAAGGTTGAGCTGGTGCGCAGTGTACCAGACCGCAAACGGCCACAGAAAATGGGGAGCAACCGCATGGATCATGGAGGTACGAGCCACCTCCCTGACTAAGCCAATGCAGCGCTCACAACCCCCATTCTGCCGCGGAGAGGCCAGAAGCATGAACGAGTGGAGGATGCCCTCCCCACGACGAAAGTCCCGCAAGAGGTCGGAGGAGAACTCACCACCTCTGTCAGAGTGCAGACGCAGGACTGGAAGGTCCGTGTCAAACCGCTCGCGGAGCTGGAGACGGACAGCGCGGATCCAAGGGATCAAGACATCAGGGACCTCCCCATTGCTACGCAAGGGGAAGACCGTGGTGTAACGCGATTAGTCATCAACAACCAGTAGAAAGTATCGCTCGCGGCCCTGTCCCTGGACGCTGGCTGGGTCCCACACGTCTATGTGGAGAGTCTGCGGGGAAGCAGTCGTCGGGAAAAACGAGGAGGAGTGAGGAGCGGCACGGTGCTGCCCCTCGACACAGGGTAGGCAGGGAGGGGCAGGCGAGGGTGGGAGGGGAGGCAGAGATATGGGAAGACCACAGACAAGGAGGTGGGAGTGCATGCCACGGGGGCGTGGCAGGGAGGGGTGACCAAGGCGGTGGTGCCAAAGGAGAGTCTGGTGCGACAGGAGGTGACACGAACAGGGGGCTGCTAGCTGACCTGACGCGGACACAGATGTAGCTACCTGAAGAGGCTCAGTAGTTAGTGTGTACAGGCTCGACCTAGGTCGACGGGTGAACGTGGCCAGGTGACAGGCCCGTCCGCGCACACGTGCAGATCACCACACGCTGTCCTCCAAGGGTAAAGGTGTTGACCCAAGCATCCTGAAGGATGGCGTTACTCACCAAGTTTGTAGAAAACGAGGGGAGGTGAAGACCTGACAGTGAGCTAGACGGAATAGCCGGACACGGGAGAACAGTGAAGGAACGTGCAAGAGCCAGGCCCCCAGAGGGGTCAGCCAGAGAGACTGCAACCAGTGCAGTGGTGTGACTGTGGTGCTGTCGCGAAAGGATACATGGCAGTAAGGATAGCGTCATAGTACAGAGCAAAGATATCCACACTGTGCCTACGCAGCTCTAGGCAGCGGGGGTGTGAGAGTATGATGGCTTATGCTGGCTTTGCTAGCTTGCCTGGACTTTGTTATGCTATTACTAGCTTGGGTTTATTTTATCATGCATATTTATGCTTGATTTCCTAGCTTAGGTGCATTCCTATATTACATTATAGTTATAGCATCGAACCAAGTTACGTGCACCGAACTCAAGCCTATTCGGTTTCCACCGAATTGATTTCTACAAAGTTTGGAAAGGTTCTGTTTGGGACGCCTCGCGACCCTCGGAACATTCGCGCAACACTTGGGTAACTGGCCTTGTGTCGAGCCTATATATAGCCTCCTCTTGTACCCTAGTGGATCATTCAATTCAAACCCACTTTTCTAAGCTTGATCATAGATCCTCACACTTGGTAATCAAAGCCTGTTTGCAAGCGAAGTTTTTCAACCGCAAAAACCTAGCTTTTAAAGTCGCGAGGGCGAGGAAGGAAAGCACCGATTTTTGGTACGTAAACCAGTTCCGCGCTATTTTCTAAGGTCCCCATCGAACCGGTTTTCGAACAATCCTCAGGTCCAGTGGCAAAAAAGTTGGAATTTCGACCGTCAGATCGATTCGAATCTCAACGGCCTTGAGAATTTCACCCCAAAAAAGTTGGAATTTGGAGCGTCAGATCGAAATTCTACTCAACGGCCGAGATCGGACGCGAATTTCGACTTAGAGAGAATTACGCGACCTATCGAACCAGTGCTCGTTATTTCTATAGTCAATTCTGTGAGAATAAGAACGATGAATGAATTGACTAGGAATGAGAAAGGTACAAGTATGAAACCCTAGAAAAGTTGTACCTCCTATTGTCTACCCCACTACAGCCTACACAGGCTATATCATATATGTCTGACACACCCCCATAGGCAAAGTGGGGGAGAACAAGGGGTCACACGACCAGTCAAGCAAAGCAAAGCAAGCTCAGGGTGGATCACAACGTCACCACACATTTCGAGCACAGGTTCAAAGTCCACAAGGCCAGTTCACATGCAGGATTATACATCAAAGTGAACAAGCAAGAGAGTGATCACAACCTAACAAAGGAAAGCATGCAAGAGCATGTATATATAGATCACAATACAAGCAAAGTCAAGAGGTAAGCAAGTGAGGCCAGGTAGACACAAGACCTAGCATAGTACAGAAACGCTGATGATCACAAGGCTGAAGTGCCTTGGTGAAGATATCAGCAGTGTTGGCCTGAGAGGCCACGTAAGCAAGACGAAGCTGACCATGCTACTGCAACTCTTGAGCAAGGAAGTAGCGCAGAGCTATGTGCTTCGTTCTATGCTCCTGTCTATGCACCTAACACAAGGCCAGCATGGCCTTGTTGTCGACGTACAGAACTGGAGGAGAACGAGGCGCCTCTCCAAAGTCAGTCAGCAGGTAGGTGAGCCAGCGTAACTTCTGTGCAGCCATGGCCCCGGCGTAGATCTCAGCCTCACAACTGGAGCTGAGAACAGAGGACGGGCGGGTAGACCGCCATGAAACAGAGCCGGAACCAAGGCTGAAGGTGTAACCCTGTGACGACCGCTGCGTAGCCAAGTCGTCAACCGAAGAAGCGTCTTCGTGACCAGTGAGGACAACTCGAGCCCGTCCTCCAAGCACGAGCCCCATGCCCGACGTACTGCACAGGTAGCGCAACACCCTCTTCGCTGCAGCCATGTGCTCTGGTCGGTGTCTCCCAGGAGCAACATAGCGTGCCAAGATGCTAAGAGGGTATGCAAGGTCAGGTCGAATGCAGGTCATCAGGTGCATGAGGTAGCTAGCAAGCTATGGGTATGGGCCACTCGGCTCTACGGACTCATTCAAAGGCAGAGCTGAGAGCGAGTGGCGAGTAGACAGAGGAGTGGCCTGAGGCGAGGAGTACGTGAAGTCAAAGCGCTGAAGGACCTGCTGCACCATGTGTGACAAAGTCAAGGTAATGGTGCACCGTGCTCTATCCCGGGTGATTTGCAAGCCAAGATAGCTGCGCAGTTCACCCAGGTCTGTGCACGTGTGTCTCTTCTGCAGCTCCGACTTCACGTGGACGAGTCCCTCAGTGTCAGCAGTGGCAAAGACCAAGTTGTTGACGTACACGAGGATGTAGAACGGCGGCAGCAAAGTGTCGGTGTGTAGAAACAGTGACGGGTCAGCAGTAGAAGGAGCAAACCGAAGAGCCGCAAGCGTAGTCCTCGCTGTGTCGTGCCACTCACAGGGCGCCTGGCGGAGACCGTAGACTGGCCACCGGAGGCTCCACTGGGTACCAGGAGGAAACGCCCCAGTGAAGCCAGGTGGGCGGCGCAGCCAGATCTCCTCGTGCAGGCTGCCCTGTAGGAAAGCAGTGCTGAAGTCAAGAGAGTGAAGCTCGTAGTCACGCTGAGCAGCGACATGCAGAAGAACCCGAAGAGTGGTCATCTTCGGGGTCGGGGAGAAGGTATGGAAGAAGTCAACTCCCTGTCGCTGACTGAAGCCTCGAGCAACGTAACGCGCCTTGAAGACAGGCGGAGAACCTGGCGGCCGCTTCACCTTGAAAATCCACATGCCATTGACGATGTTCGCCCCAGGAGGGGGAACCTCGTCGACGTAGGTGCCTGTGGACTTCCAGGATGCCATCTCTGCGTCCATGGCTGACTGCCACTGAGAGGAGTAGGGACCCTCTATCGCCTCTGCGTAAGAGCGCGGGGTCGGGATGTCTGGTGCATCCGGGTCTCCCTCAGGTGCAATCAGCATGGACACGAGATGAGGTACAGCGGCTGCAAAGCACTCAAAGTCCTTCTGCTTGTCCTCAAGGACGTCCGTGCCAAGAGCACACTCACCCCCGACGGACGGAGGACAGACAGACTCAGACTCAGCAACAAGACTCGCGGCGTAGTCTACATCACAGAAACCTTATGCCAAGTTTGGACGAATTTTGATTGGGGTTGTCTTCGCGTAAAAAAATCCGGACCCAATTTCGACCGACGGTTGGAATGATTTGATAGGAGCTCTGACACACATCTCGCGACAAGGTTTGGCTTGGGTCAAGTTTCAAATTGGCACACGAGCTTTTCCGGATGACATTCGGGCGCAATCCGTTTTGGTGCAATTTCGGTACCAAATTTTTTAAAACTGGATTTTGGTTTTGTTTTATTTTGGGTATTGAGGATTTCAGAATTACATTCAATAATTCGGGTTACAGCAACCATTATTCAGCATTCTAACAACCAGCAGTTCTAGCACCAGGTCAAATAGCCTACGCAATGCTGGACCCTGCAATCGCCCGGTGGGCAAGAATGACATCTCCAAGGTCGCCATCATCGATGAGGAACTTGTTCGGGAAGACGAACGCACGC